TTCAGGATTTAGGGTTTCGGATTTAGGGTTTAGGTTTTCAGGGTTTAGGGTTTAGGGTTATGGGTTCAGGGTTTTGGACTTGTAGGTTTTAGGATTAGGGTTTAAGGGTTTAGGGTTGCAGGGGTTTAGGATTTAGGGTGTAAGATTTAGGGTTTAGGGGTTTAGGGGTTTAGGGTTTAGGGTCCAGGGTTTAGGGGTTTAGGGTTTAGGGTTCAAGATTTAGGGTTTGGGTTTGGGAGGGTTTCGGGTTTAGGGGTTTTGGGCTTGTAGGGTTTAGGGTTTAGGGGTTTAGGGATTAGGGTTTAGGGTTTAGGGGTTTTGGGGTTCAGGGTTTTAGGGTTCAGGGTTTTGGGGCTTGTGGGGTTCAGGGTCTTGGGCTTGTAGGTTTTAGGATTCAGGGTTCAGGGTGTTAGGGTTTAGGTTTCAGGGTTGAGGGTTTAGGGTTCAGGGTTCAGCGTTTAGGGTTTAGGGTTCAGGGTTTGGGGTTTAGGGTTTAGGGTTTTGGGCTTCTAGGCTGTCAGAACTTCCGGCGTTTACACGGCCTTGATAAGGGTTTTATGATACGGCTTTAGTTAGAATGGGCTTATCGAGTTGTTGAAGGGTTCTCTGCCAAGCATGGACTTTGCATATGAAATCTTCATGGATTCATACGTGGCTTAGGTCGTCACGGTTTCAGGGCTGACGGATTTGGGCTTTAGCGCCTAGGACTTTATTAGGGCTTTCAGGGCATGCAGGTTTGACTTTAAGTGTTTGTGGGTTCGGGCCTTAAGTTTCGTTAGAGCTTTATGGCTCTAGGGTGCAGGGTTCGAGGCTATAGGCTTTAGTGCAAGGACCAATCACGCTGAACCCTAAACCAGAAAAGGAGGTGTACCCACTACGCAACCACTCCACATGCACCCAGCTGCCTCAAAGCTGCGCAGCTAGGCTTGGGGACCACTGTACATCGACGGAGCCGTCCACGAGATGGACCCGCAGTTTCTCAAAAGCAACGACTCGCGGAAAGTGGTGCTGAGTTATATGAACGACCACGGGGATGGGATATTGTGTGATCACATTGTGAGGACGTCGATATGGGAAACTCGCGACCATGTGTTCCAGTTTCCAGAGGCAGACGTCATGTCAGCAACTACATGTATTAATGTATTGTCGTTGAGACTAAACCCTAAACCCCTTATCCCTAACCCCTAAACCCTGCACTCTGAAGCCTTGGAGTCACGGGCCTCCCTCAACCCCCCCCCCCCCTTTATGGGTTCCTGTTGGGGTTCCTTTACTTCTTCTCTTTAGGGGTTCGCCATCAGGGCTTCTACTAGGGATTCCTTGAAGGGTTCCCTTTAAGGTTTAGGGTTGGGGGTTTAAGCTTAATATAGGGGCCTTAACAATTAGAATAGGGTTTTGGGGCCCATTGTACTATAATCATACTAAGGAGCCCCCCAAATAGTATAGATAATTATTTAGGCCCTTACATTAGGGCTTGCTGGAAGAATGATCATGGAAGCAGGAACGCGCACCGACCCTAAGCCCTAAACCCCTGAACCCTAAACCCCTAAACCTTAAACCCTAAACCCAACTAAGGGTCGAAGAGGTTAGGGTTTAGGGTTTAGGGTTTAGGGTTTAGGGTTTAGGGTTAAGGCTTGGCAAATAGGTACTTGGGTGTAGGATAGTAGCTTTTCTGTAGCTTTAGAAGTTCGTATTTGGCTAGGTTCCCCTGTAGTACCCTTTTGCCCTTTTTCTTTTTGGGTTCCCTGATTCAAACTAAATAGTAGGGAAAAAGGGTAGCCTTATTATTTAGGGGCTACTGGGGAACCTAGTTGGGGAGTAGATGATTATCGGTACCTGGACCCTTTGGGTAAGGTCTCACCTGGGCCTTAATTCTTGGAAGCTTCCACTCCGATTCCAAACCTGTGGGAGAAGCTCACATACCCAGTGCTCCCAACATCCCTTAAATCAGGGTTTAGGGGTTAGGGTTTATAGGGTTTATAGGGTTTAAGAAACCAGCTCTAAGATATTGCGGGTTTGTTGTCGTTATGATTTGTATTCCTCAAGTACTGAGCTCTCTGGATAGAATCGGAAGACAACCTGGAAACACCCACAGTCCAAACAGAGGCGGCGTCGGTTCGATCATCGGACGTCTTGTGGCTAAGCCGAAAGACCAGAAGCTGTGTTGAGTTTCGGGGTAAAGGTCTGAGGCTCTGATATTGACAGTTGATTCTTAGTTTGGCCATATGGTCCTGCGATGGGTTTTCGTGTTTTGATGTTGGCTGCAATCTGGCCGTGGCACTCGGTTGCTGTATTCTAAGACTAGAACTACCTAAAAACTTTTACGACATCTAGGGCTTTGAGCCCTAACAAAAATTGCCGACGGTTCATGCAAAATACACGCCACTCAAAGCGCAGCACGCCAGACCAGAAAACTCAGCGACTCTGAAACTCTCCGCAACGAACCTATCCCGAAAGACCACCCTAAACCCTAAACCCTACACCGCAACTTCCCAGTTCCAATGTCAATGAATCTAAGCCCAAACAGGGCCTTCGGGTGGCTATTCGGGTTGGCCCCTACAAGGTCCCATAAACCCCAAACCTGCTAACCCTAAACCTTAAGCCTCAAGCCTTGAAGCCCCAGACCCAGAACCGAAAGACAAAGTAGGTGTTAATTCGTACCATTGGTTCTGGATTCGATTTTAGATGGGGTTCCTTTATCTGATATGTGTTTTTTTTTTCAATGGCGGCTTACATGGGGCGCAGTCCCGACCAGAGGTGGGAAATAAAAATGAGCCCACAGACGCCCCATGGCACTAAACCCAAAGCCCCCCAATGCCCCAGGCGCCATACCCTGACACTTGGAGTATTGTGTCTGTAGAACCCTCACGGAATCCTTTCAGGACCCCTATGTAAGCCCCCTAAACCCTAAATCCTAAACCCTAAGCTTCCTAAACATTTAAACCCTTGACCCTAAACCCTAAATGATGTAAGCCCCCCTCCATTGTCAGATCCTTCCCAAGCCTCCTTCTAAAACCCTCTGAGGATCCCCTTGTAGAACCTGCCCCAAGCCCTCAGAACCCTCGCAGAAGCATTGGAGATATAGATCCCCAGAACCGCTTTTGAAATCTTTTTTGAACCCTTGAGGTCCCTAAACCCTAAACCCGAAACCCTAAACCCTAAACCCTGAAGTTTAGGGTTTAGGGTTTAGGGTTTAGGGTTCCCTAGAGCCCTAAACCCTGAGGTGGTCACTGGCTACCACACCTGGCGACGGCGCGGCCACCCGACGGTCGGCGCTGGGCAAGGCTCACGGAGCGGGCATCCATGGAGTCCAGCAACCCCCGACGTGTCCACTGTTCCTACAAGGTTTCGGGTTCAGGGGTTTCGGTTTTAGGGTTTCGGGTTTAGGTTTGAGGGGTTTTCAGAACTCTTCTATATCTCCAAGAGTGCCTCTTCCACTCATGTACTACAGAAATTGCTTTCGAATTAGGTGTATATATATATATACACGTCATATATGGATGCCGTTCTAAACCCCCGCCTCTTGTGGTAAGAGTAGGGCCGGCATTAGGGTTTTGCATGGTGGTTAAAAACCCTCGCGTGCGCGCAAGCTCGCGCAAGGGCGGGCGCAAGATACATAAAATAATAACATATGTATTGTATTCATATATGTGGCTTTGTATTGGATTATGTTGTCATGAGTGGAAACCCCTGCGCGCGCAAGACGGCGCAAGGGCGGGCGCAAGCACTGTCCTAATGCCTGGGCATGGCTCCTTTTATTTAGAACAACATCCATATATATATATATATATATATATATACATATATACATACAGAGAGAGAGGTATTCATGCAGGGCTAAAGTACATACCTAATCGGTACTGGACCCTTGGGGACCCTCCATGAATGGGTTTAGGATTTCGATCCGGCGTTCAGAGGTCTACTTGGAGGTTCATGGGTAGTTATAAGTAGGCTTATAAGTAGGGTAACTATGGTTATAACCTCTATTAGGGGACTTATAACTCCGCTTATAACTACGCATGAACCTCTAAGTGGGTTTGGGTTAAGGATTTTGGACTTAGGGTTGGAAGTTATTGGGGTTCGGGTTTAGGGTTCAGGGCTGTAGAACGAGGATGCCAGGTTTGTATTGTAGATGTAAGGACTGCTGGCTAGGATCCAAATTTAAAGGTTTCATGTCAAATCCTAAACTCTAGACCCTAAACCTTAAACCCTAAATCCTAAACCCTCAACCCTCGACCCTTAACCTCAAACCCCAAGTCCTAAACCCTCAACCCTAAATCCTAAGTCCCAAACCCTAAACCTTGTCGTTCCATTGCAGGCCGGCAGGATGAAAATCTCAACCCACGCCATTGCGTTGCGGTTGACGGCTAAGCTGTAGCGAAATGACCTACCTTTTCAGTTGCTTTCTATATGAGTGTATATATATATATATATACAGAGAGGGGGAGGTCCTTAAAAAAATAAGCTAGGTCCTTCGGGACACAGGCAGGGTTTAGATCTTTGTTGCAGGGAATTATAAGGTTTGTGTTGGGCTGGGGATGGGGAGCCTGTGATGTACGGGAGATTTCAAGCATTAAGGCCCCGTAACGTTGAAGCTGAAGGCCAGCAAATCGGTAAACCCTGTGAATTTGATGAGTTTTCGACGGATGGTAATGTGGTGGCCCTTTTAATAACTTGGGCCTCTTTAATGCGTTTTTTTCCTAATTCAAGCCGAGACCAAAAAAACGACCGGCTCGAATAATGCGTTTTTTGTTTTTTTGTTTTTTTTTTGGGGGGG